TCTGTCTTCTTGCCGGAGACGTCCACTCGCGTCCTGGCCCATCGCTGCACTGGGCAGCTGCACTCACCTCAGTGGGGTCCACTCGTCCCTTCCTTCCACCCGCTGTGTGGTAGGAGCTGAGGTGGGTGAGTGAGCCCCAGGCCCCCCAGAACCCACATGCAGTGTCAGCCCCTGCTGAGCCCACCCCTCGCCTCAGCCCTGACGCCACCACCCAGGAGGGGCAGTGGCCCCAAGTCACAGGTGGTGTCGTGGAGGCTCAGAGGCATTAGAGGCGTCTCTCACCACCCCCCACCCCGTGCACCCCTAACCCTCCTCCACCATGAATTGGGGCTCACGCCCCACCAGGAGCACTGAGTGAGGCCTGGACCAGCTCTGCCGGGGTCTTCCCTGGCCTGACCCCTCTCTCTCCTGGCAGGAAGATGGGATGGGCATGCTAGGGCCGCCCGCCGCCTGGCCTGCGCCCTGGGGACCGCGCTTCAGGAAATGCTCTCAGCCAGAAGCCACTGCCCCCAGGGGCGTGCTCACGGCTCCATTACTGTCCTCGGCTTCCAGGAAACGGCTGCTCTCCGGCGGGCGCTCCGCCCTCCGCTCTGCTCGTGGGCCCACCAGGGTGGGCGAGGTGCCCGGAGCCACCCTGGCCAACCCCTGGGCCCCCAGGGTGTGCAGCGGGCTCCAGGCTCTGAGTGGGGTGGGCCTTCCCCTCCCCGCTCAGGCCCCTCCTTCTGCCGTGGGGCAGGACCACGTCACCACCCCCAAGGGACAGTTCCTCCTCTACCAGGCTCCGGGCCTGTGGCTGCCTCTCCTCTCCTCCATAAAGGTTCTTCCTCCCACCTTATGTCTCTTAGGCAGGAAAGAGACCCCTGGGGTCCCCTCACCTGATACCCCTCTTTCTCATAAACACCTCCACTCAGTCAGCAGATCTCGTGGGCACGCTCTCCAGGGCCGGCCACAGCCCGAGTGGCCTCCGAACCACACTGCACCTCCATGGTCTGAGCCCGCAGCCTGGGGGCCTGTGTGTCTGTCCCCCTTGTCTCGCTCGCCCCTCACAGCCCCCATCTCCAGCCATGGTGCCCCCGGCGCCCTCAGCCTGCCAACCCCCTGACGTCACCGGGGCCACCCAGCCCTGCCCACCCCGGAGGACCGGCTCCCGCGTGGCTGCGAGGGCGGCCGTCCTTCGGGGGGCATCGATGAGGGGCAGGCTGTGGGGGCTCCTGGCTGCTGCTCTGCTCGTCTGCGCCCAGGAAACTGCTCCCCACCCCTCGCCACCTTCTTGAGGGCACCCAGGGGGCCGTGGCCTATTCTGCGCCTCCCCAACATGGCAGTCGCCCTGGGTGGTTTCATAGGTGCCCGAGGCAGGGCACCCTGGGTCAGTCTTTATGGGGCTCTGGAAGGAAGCAGAGGCCAGACTGTCCGCCACTGCCCCCAGCCCTGTGACCCTGGGTGAGTCGGTCCCCTCCGAGCCCAGCTCCTCTTTGCCGAAGTGGGGTGGATGGGTGCTACCCCTTAGTGCTGCTTTGAAGACCAACAGCCCCCAGGGAGGCCTGGGGTGCCCAGAAACGCTGGACGGGTGAACGGAGAGCTCTGTCACCCGCTTGTCCTGGGGACCTCCAGGGACCTCCAGACCCCCGCCACACACCCAGTCCCCCGCCCCAGTCTGTGAGTGCGGGCCGCCATCAGGAGGGTGATCACGGAGGCGATTCAGAGCTGGGCCTGCCCCACGCCCCTGCCTCTGTGCCTTGGAGTATCACTCATAGGAGCCCGCCTGCCCGGGGCAGCGGGAGGGCAGGGAGGGGCACAGGGCACAGGGGACGGCGAGTGTGGGCAGTGCCAACGCCACTTCCCACACCAGCTGCTCCCCCGCTGTCCGCTGAAGGCCAAGTGGCTCTTTGGTTTCCAGAAAAACGCTTGGGTGGGGGCAGCCAGAGATGCTCGGGGTTCCCTCTGCCCTCAGGGCGAACCGACCTGGGCCCCCCAGCGGGACCTGTGGGCCTGGGAGCAGAGCCCCACTGTGTCCCTGTCTTGGCCTCCCAGCCACTCGGAGCTTCCCCAGGGTTCGGCCCACCTGTCTGGCCTGGCCCTGCCTCCCCAGGCCCCTCCCCCCACCTCGTTATCCAGAGCCTTTTCCAAGAGGCAGCCGAGCACCCCCCGCCGCCCTCCTGGCCTGGTGTGGGGCATGGGCGGATTGCAGTGGTGAGCCACAAAGAAGGTCCCCACTGCACCCTGAGTCCTGAGGCCGGTGCCCCGTGGCACAGATGCCCTCCCTGCACGCCTGCTGAGCCAGGCCCGCGGGGCACAGGGCACACGGGAGGGCCGAGGGCTGTGGAATCGCAGCTGAAAGCTAAGGCTGGGGCCACGCCCAGTCAGGACGTGCAGAGACCCTCACGGCCCTGCACCCGGCTCCTGCAGCCCCCAGTCCTGTGTCCTGCGGGACCCCAAAAAGGCAAGGAGACCTGCCCAGTTCAATCAGTTGTGGGGGACAGTTAGCCCTGCGAGGACACACCGAGTACATTGTTGGGGCATGAACCCCGGATAAGGGCACCCCGGCAGTGACCAGTGCGTGGCCTCCGGTCTCCCACTCACACATGGGCCCCGGGTTGCAGGCCAGGTGGCGTGTGGCAGCTCATCGGCCTGGCTTCCTGTCCAAGGTGACCTGTGGGCGTCACTACTCAGGGCTGGCTTGGCAGCCTCCAGAGACTTGAGCAGCCTGTCATTACCTGACCTGGTCCCCAGCTCTGGACAAGAGGGCAAAGCCCAGGGGGCACCAGGTGGGTGGGACCTGGGTGGCACCCAGCTTGCTGGAGGCCAAGAGCAGGAAGAAGGCTCCGGCTCCCCTGGCCAGCCCATGCCCCGGGAGTCACCTGGGTCTCCCCAGGACACCCCTGGGGATGGGCTGTGCGGCCCGGGAGGCTGTGCCAGGCTGTGAGGGCCTCCGGGCAGGACAGGCTAAAAATAGCAGGGGATCGCGGGGCAGGGACAGCCGGTGGGAGGCCGGTGGGGAGGGGCCCAGAGGGGCCTCCATGGCGGCCTGGGCCCCGGACCGCCGTCAGTGGTGCTGGCGCACCCACCCTGTTCCCGGTGGCCGGCCAGCCGGCAGCCCAGCTGACAGGCTATTTTTTCCCTGCTTGACTAAATATGGTCAGGGAGCAGGGCCGAGGGGGCCACTTGGCCGGCCGCGTGTTTGGGATGCTTGGCCGGGTATATAAGGACCGCAAAGGTGAGGCCTGCTCCTGACACCAGGGGGGCCCCACGCCCACTGGGGCCCTGGGGTCAGCCCTCCTCACGGTCCCCTCCCCCGCCTGCGTGCATGTGCGAGCCTGCACGCGCCCCGGATGTCCCCTTTTGTTCCAGCCTGACCTCTACCTTGCGCTGACCCCGGCTGGGGGTGCAGGAGCGCCCTGCGGGCGGACGGAGCCCCGAGCGGGGAGGGCTCCAGGTGTGCGGGAGGCCGGGGCGCTTCTCCTCACCTCCGCGCTGCCCGCCACTCCACGCTCCCTCCTCCCTCCCTCCCCCATTCTGCTCTCCCTCTCCGCGCCCAAGACCTCCCCGCTCAGGCTGCGCTGTAGCAGGAGGGCTGGGGGAAGGGCAGGGGTGCGCAGAGGGGGTGCCCGGTGTCTTCTTTCTCTCTGCCTCCCCCACCCCTGCATTCGCGATTGGCTCCGGGAGAGGGTGGATGGCGCTGCCGCGGCTGCAGCATCTCCCGGAGCGCCGCGCGGGGCGCATCGTACCGCGAGCCACGACCCTGCGCCCGCTGCCGGCGTCGCCAGCCCGGCCGGAGGGGCTCCTCGGTGAGTCCCGCGCCGCCCGCCCGGCCGCCCCCGAAAACTTGCCGGCGCCGCGGTGGGGGTGTGCCGGCGCGCGGAGAGCCGGGGCTCGGGCCGCGTGGTCCCGGCGGGGCCGCCTCGGAGTTTGCTCTGGCTCGCGGCGGCGTCCGCATTCGGAAAACTGCAGAGCCAGCAGCCGGCAGGGCCGGGAGGGCGCGTCCAACGGGGATGCGCGAACTTTGACAGGCGGGCGCCTGGCGAGCAGGCAGCAGCCTCCCGACGCCTGGCGGACGGGGGTCCTGGCGCGGGGGCGGGGGCGGGGGCTGGGGCGGGCGCGGTTAACCTGCCCCAGGCGACAGAGCGCCGCCCAGACGCGCGAGCGGCCGAACTTACCGGACTTGCGGCGCTGACCACGCTGCGGGGCGGGGGCCTGGTGCGCGGCGGCGCGGCTGCCCAGGCTGGGTCTCCGGACGTGTATGGCTCCCGCCGGGGTCCGGAGGGTCCCTCTGCTGGGCGTGCACAGCGGGGTGCGCGTGGGCGGAGCCTGGGGTGCCTGGGGGTGCAGAGGCGAGGTCTCTGCAGGGGACCGTTGCTCCCTGGGGGGCTGGGGGGGCTGGGGGTGGCGGGGGCCAGGTGCCAGCTCACTGCCAGCGAGGGGCCCCTGGGAGGTGGCTCAGTGCTTCCTTTCTGTCCGAATTGGAAAAGTTTTTCGAAGTAGCCGAGGTTCATTTGTGAGCAGGTGGAAACTTACAGGGGCTCTTGCTGGACCTGGGTTGACTCTCCAGGCCTTTGGGGTCCCCAACTGTCCACTGACCTCCTGACACCATCTATGTGGGCACCTGGGAGACAGGGGTGGCCGGGATGTTTGGACCTGGACGTCCTTCAGGAGGGGAAGTTCTCCGGAGGGGGTACGCCAGGGGCGAGAGGTCAGGGAGGGGTGCCAGCTGCCGGTTTCATCCTTGGCGAGAGGAAGGTGCAGAATGACCGCAGGGAAGTGGGCCCACGCTCCCTGTGTCTGTGTGCCCTTCCCCGTGAGTGGGGTGAGGGCTGCAGCTTTGCTCCCACACCCCCGTGCAAAACTCCAGCCCGGGGCTGGAGAAGCCAAAGGCACACGCCCTGCCTGGGTGACCGCAGCATCCCGATGCCCTCTCTGGGCCGTCCTGGCAGGGACAGGTGGATGCCGTGTTTCGGGGGGTGGACAGGCAGGGCACCTGGCTCTTGTCTTGCTCACAGGAAGGGCACTGCCAGCATGTTCAGGCCCGGGGTCCGGTCCCCAAGCCAGGGTCAGCTCCCAGCCACCCAGGACGAGGACCCAGCTGCCGCCCCCCTGTGTCTGGGCCGGGCTCCCCCTCCCATCCCTGCTCTCTGCCTCTGCTGGCGCCCCACCGTGAGTGACCCCCTGATGCCCCGGCCTTCCCCGCGTGGTGCCGCGGTCACCTCTTACACTGCTCCTGGCACCCGGCACCCGTGGGCTTCTCCCTCCTCCACATGGGATGGCTGCCCTCCCGCCTGGGGACTGACTCGCCCACAGTCTCTAAGCTCCTGGCTTCTTTGGGGCGGCTGCAGAAGTTGGGGAGAGGGGCCTGTATGTCCCCACTGCAGGGACAACCCGAAATGCAGGGAGGACGGGTTGGCACAATTAAGTATTCAAACGTGCTTCGTTTGCCACTTGCTAAGTTTACTTAAACCCTCTTTAACGGGTTCATTAGAAGCCAGTGAACACAGGGGAAATTCATTAACAGGAAGGTGGCCCTGCGTTTGACTGTAAATTGGTATTGATCAGCCCTGGCGGGGGCTGGGCACATGCCGCAAGGGGCCAGGTGAGGGCCAGGGCCCGAGTGCCCCTGGTGCACCGCTGGCCTGTGCAAGCAGCAAGCATTGTCCCAGGGCCCTCGGCGGAGGTGGTGACGCCAGGAGAGGAGAGGGGGAGAGAGGGTGAAGACAGGGGAGGAGGAGGAGACGGAGACGCGGGGGAGCGGGAGCGGCCCAGTCCCCTCACCGGGCTGGGCGTCTGCTCCGTGACCAGGCTCAGGCTCCGAGGGAGCCGGCCCAGGGGCAGCTCCCAGCCGCTCTCGCTGCTTTCGCCGCCCTCCGGGGACTGGAGTCCTCCACGTCTTCAAAGACAGCAGCCCTGAGCCCCGCCCTTGGGCGCCCGTTCCTGGAGGCGCACCGCCAGGGACCTGCCCCAGAGGCGCCGGCTGCCCAGGTAAGCCCTGTCCCTGCCTCGGGTCTCCCGGGGCTGCCTTCCGTCTGGGCCTGCGGGGAGGGTGCGCCCTGTGGGCCTGGCCAGCCGGCCCCCCAACTGCTCATGATCAGGGTCCTCTCTGCCCCTGTCAGGGACAAGCGCGCCCAGGGCAGGGGAGAGGGAGGGGGCTGGCTGGGCTCATCACCATCTGGGGGGCGAGGAGGGCACCCCCTTCTCCAGGGGGAGACGGCAGCCTGGGTCCTTTCTTCTTCCACTGATGTAACGCTTTGTGGCTGTCGGGGATCGAAGGGGTTCTCCAGACTTCCTGGCCTGACTCTGCGTGTGTGAGGGAGGGAGGGTGCCAAGGTCGCGGGGACCCTGGGAGCCCAGGGCCCGCGTGCTGCCCTGAGCCCAAACAGGGCTCCAGGGCGTGGGCGGGCAGAAACCCAGGCCCCGTGATGCCCTCCCCACCCGCCACGGGGCCGCGTCTGCGCCCGCGGAGCTGAGCACGTGGAACTACCCGCCCGGGAGACATACTTCTTTATATGCCCATATGACCTGCGAAGCTATGGAATGTAAAGAAGTATGTATTTCGGGTTGGGGACTCGGTCACCGGAGTACGGGGGCCACCGGGGGGACAGTCAGGTAGACCGCGGCTGCGGCCAGGCGAGGCCTGGGGGGCAGGCTGCCTGGGCCCCGGTGACGGCCCTGTCCCCTGCCGGCATTGTTCTGTCACTTTGCCTGTGTCAGCAGGTGGAAGTATTCGTCAGACATTAAATATTCAGCGTGCTGACTGCGGCAGAGGGGAGGCGGCCCTGTGGCAGGCGTGGGGCCCACGCGGGGGCGCGGGGGCTGGGGTTGTGGGGTGCCGGGCGTGGGGACGCAGGCTGGCCTGTCTCTGGGAGTGTCGCTTCTCCACACCCTGAAAGGGGACAGTTGCCAGCAGGAGGGGCTGTTGGTGTGGCAGGGACAGCAACTGCTCAGAGGCACAAGGAAGGCGCCTGTTCCCGAAAGGCCAGGCCCGCTGGGCGACAGGGACGAGGGGAGGACTGGTGGCCGAGGGGTGTCTGGAGGGAACAGTGCTGCCTGGCTCACGTCTGCACCTTCAGTGGCCACCCTGCGTGCGAGGCAGAGGTGACCGGCAATTGTAGCTTGACCTTCAAGGGGGGGGATTGTGAGGGCAGGGTCCGAGGCACCTGTAGCCCCAGGGCCCTCCCCCTCGGGCACCTGAGGGCACCTTGGGCTCCGTGGCGGTGACCACAGGAAGCAGAGGTCTGAGTCAGGGCCATGCTGGGGCGAGCCCAGCTGGCCCTGTGACCCCCCAGCCCAAGCCCACTTTTCTCTGTTTTCACCGACTCAGCTGAAGTGTGTTTGCCGTGAAGGACAATGCCGGGCTGCTCCGTGAGGGTGGCAGGCGCGTGGGACCCTCGGGCTGGGGTGACATCCTGCGGACCCCACAGCTGGGCGGTGATGCCGAGACGCCGTGTCCAGTGTGTGGGGCCGGTCCCGCAGCGCTGGTGGCCCTGTGGGAGCCCAGGGCAGAAGGTTCACGGCGGCCGGCGGTGCCAGGAGGCAGTGGCAGGGGTGTCTGCCGGCGTCAGCCCCTGGCTCCCTGGCGGACCACGTACAGCCCAGGGCACGTCCTCATGTCCTCCCCGGACGCAGGGCTGCCATCCCGATGTGTGTTCCACCTCTGCTTGTCCATCGGCCCTGAGGTCGCCACCCTGGGCCCACATAGGTGCCCCTCCCCTCCTACACCCTGAGCTTTGGCAAGAATTCATCCCTGGGGGGGGGTAGGCCCCTCCTTCTCTGCTGTAGCGTCGGGCAGGGGCAGCCAGATTCCCTGCGCCGCCAAGGCCTTGCCAGGGAGGCCGGGACAAGGACAAGCAGCTGGTTCCAAGCTGGCACTCGGCTCCTACCGTCCAGGGGGTGGACCACAGTCGAGGGCCAGGAGGGCTCCGTGGTCTGGGGCCCTTTCCGACGTTCAGGCCTCTCGCCTCCGGCTCCACCACCAGCAGCAGGGCCAGGTAGGACTGTCCTTGGGTGCTGCCTTCCTTCTGGCCACCAGGCCTGGAGGGGTCAGCCCAGCGTCGCCAGGAAGGTCGTTTCTGCCCCACTGGCTTCCAGCTCCGGCCACAAGGAGGGAAGTAGCCGGGTGTGCGCCCACCAAGGCCGGGCGCAGAACGGCCGCCCTTCCCCTGGACCCGCCCCGCCGCACATTGGGACTTTGTGGCAGGATGTGGCGTTCGAATGGAAGCATTAGCATTCGGAACTCGGAACTCGGTCGGACTGAGCAGGAGAAGGAAAGCTTGCAGGGAGAGGGCCGCAGCCTCCTCCGCCAGGAGCCGCCCCCGTCTCCTGAGCCTTGGCACTCACCCCCTCAGACAGGCGGCGCCCCTCGTCCTGGGGGCTGCTGCTTCCCCGCTCGCTGCCCACGCCCGCCCGCAGTATCTGCACTGAGGCTCCGACTCTGGCTTCCGGGGGAATGGCCAGGGAACCCCAGGACAGTGTGGGGTGTCCAGGCCTTTCCTTGCCAAAGGGGGGGAGCAGCAGTCTTTGCCCAGGGGGGCTTTTCCAGGGTGGCACGGGCACCCCAAACCTGCTGCCAGGTTTGAGGACTTGCAGAGGGGAACGGGGGTGTGGCCTGGTGGCATCCAAGAAGGACCCTGGGGGCGCTTGTCGGGCCGCCCAGGTGGGTGTCTGTGTGGCTGGGAGGGGCGAGGCGTGACCTGTTCTCAGAGCGGGCGGCGCCCTGCGTGGCTGTTGGTGGAACGGTGCAGAGGGGTTGCCCTGAAGCAGCCGGAGCCGGGCCCCAGTTCCACTGGTGGAAGTGGCAGGTCTGAGAACGGTGGGGCTCTGGCTCCAGGCAGCTGGTTGGCCTGCATTTTCCGCCTGCAGCTCCCGCTTCCAGCAAAACGCGCCCCGGGGGCGGGGGGAGGGGGAGACCACCGGGACCTGGGACCCAGGGCGAAGTGTCGGTGCCGATGGCAGGGGGCCTGTGATCTCTCTGAGTCGCTGCTTCCAAAGTCGGGGGGCTGGTAGAGGGGGGCACTTGCGGTTTTTTACAGCAGCCTCACGGGCGGGATGTTTCCTGGAAGGACAGACCTGCCTAGCGGGGTGGGAGGGACTCGCAGGACTGGCGTCTGCCCCGCATGGTCAGTGGGGGTGAACTTCGCCTGAGTTGCAAATGTGCTCCCACAACGCCCCCCAAATACCCTACATGAAAAATCAGGGACCCTGAGGAGTCTTTAGAGCCAGGGCATGGTCGGAAGTTGGGGTGTGGAGAGGTTTGCCAGGCAGGAAGGTGGGGTGGGCGGGGCCAGTGGGTAGTGGGCGGGGCCTTGTGGTGAGTGGGCGGGGCCAGTGGAGTTGCAGTAATTGCAGCCACTTCTGCATAAAGGGTCAGCGGGGTCCTTCGTCAGAGGAGCTGCATGCTGACTCGGCCTTTGCCCGATGGACACACGTCCGACAGGGGACACACCGGTTCTCTGTGGAACCCGCCCTGGTCCCTGCCCTTGGTCCTCCTCGGTGGGGCCCGCGGCACGGCCTCCGCTCTCCCAGCGGCTCCGCTGTCTGTCTGCTCCCCCGGGTCCAGCTCTGGGCTTCCCCTGCTGCCTGCAGGCCCAGGACCTGGCCCGGCAGAGCTGCCCCTGGGCTGTGCCCAGTGGAGACTGCCTCAGCCCTTGGCTCGGACCCTGGGCAGGCCGGCCACTGGGCGCCTGGGGCGGAGCTGCACTGCAGCAGGCAGCAAGCACTCAGGCTGTTGCGGAGCCGCTGCTGCCCCGGGCGCTGCAGTGGCGGCGCAGCTGCAGGCAGCACGCAGGGCTGCGAGTCTCGAGGGCGGGGACAGGAGGGCCAGCTCTGCAGAGGCTCGGGCGGCGGGCAGCAGAGCAGCGTGCAGAGCCTCCAGCTCCCCGGGCGTCTGCTAACCGGGCCAGTCTGCCCGGTCTCAGAGGCCCAACCGAGACTCAGCGCAGGTCTGCTTCCTGCGCTGCCAGGGGGTCCGCCTGGGTGCATGGGACCCTGAGGGCCAGGGACACAGGGCAGAGAGGCGTCCAGCCCAGGGAGAGGACAGAAGAGAGAAGGCCCACGCAGAGGGGCTGGTGGGCAGGTCCCTGGCTTGTCCCCATGCAGGGGGGCAGGCACCCGAAGGACCTGGTGGTCGGGAGTCTGGGGTCCCCCACCGTGGGGTTAAACCTCAAGTGTGGGGCGGGGCCGGTGAGGAGGCTGGGGTCAGAGCACGCAGGTGTGCGTGAGTGTGCCGGCGCACGGGGGACAGCTGAGGGCGTGGGGGACAGTGACCAGAGTATTTTTAAACTGCGGGGAGGGGAGAAGGCAGCTGCCCTGGAACCTGTCACAGGGAGGGGGGTCAGCGGGGACTTGGTGAGGTTCAAGGACGCCCAGGACAGATGCGTGGTTTGGGCCCTTGTCCCCTGGCAGCCTGCACGCTGTCCGTCATGCCCACATATGGCGACCGGGCTGCTTGTCTCTCCAGCCACCCGCCATGGCCGGTATAAATAGTCCGCATTCTCAGCTGTCCTCTTGGAGACGCTGAACTTGGATGACTCTGGGCTGGGGAGTCTCAGGGGTGGCCCCCTCACACCCCTCCCCACCACTGAAGAGCTGACAATTGAAGGCGGAGTGGCCAGGCCAGGCCAGGTGAGGTTTTGAGCTGTGTCCCCCGTCACCTGCCCCTTCCCAGGGGTCAGACCCACAAGGGACCCGGAGACCTCCTGTTGTCCATCTCCGAGGGTCCAGCAGGACCTCTGCCCACTGAGGGCTGGGGCTGTGTGTACTGCCCCTGGCTCAGTCCTGCAGCAGGTAAAGGCTGTCACCAGAGTCCCCTGTCCCCGCTCCTGGTCTGCCCCCAGCCATTCCCTCCTGTGCTGCCCTCGGCGCCATGACCCAGAGGCTGTGCAGCCATAGTCCAGGGGCTTGTCACCTCCTTCCCAGGGCACCTGCTTTCCCTCCACCTTTAACCAGGAAGCGAATCTCTAACGGAGGAGTTTCAAACACCCACC